AGTAGATAAATAGGTACCATCTCGGTGGGAAGGTAAACAGCGTTCCGTGTCTAAATCACACTGGCCATGTGACCACGGAAAGATTGTCTTCGGACAAACGCTGGCTCTATGGCTTGAAGAGCGGGATGAGCGCCGCCCCCTAGAGTCGGACACGACTGGACAAAAATTGTCAAGGGGAACCTTTACCTTTACCTTTAGCCCACTTTTCCAAATGCATAAGCTCTTCTTAGTTGCAAGACAGCAAGACATGAACCAAGAGTGGTCCGGTGGGCCAGATAGGCGGGGTATAAATTAAATAAATAAAATAAATATAAAATAAATAACCTCCTTCAACATTTATTTAATCCTTTGATTTTCTCTCTGTTATTCCCAATTTCTACTGGGCTAATTTCTTCATGGGCTTGATGAAGAAAGGGCAGATCCCTGCTCCAAAGAGTAAAGGAGGTGACTGGACTCCAGAGAGTAAAGGTGATGCCACCCTGAGCCTCACAGCGTGTAGATCAGCCCCATAATTTAATAATTTAAAAATATATATATTTTCAGGATGCAGTAAGTGGGAGACAGAAACTAAGACAAAATAAGTTTCAGGTCTGAAAAAAAAAGATGCTAATTCCCTGGGTCATGTGTTCAAAAATCACTCTCTGTCCATTCAGCCAGTGGTTTGACTTCGCAAACTGTAGTGTCTGGGTACAACATTTTTAGGCTGTGACAAATCCACTCAGCACCATTTTATATATTTTTTGGTGGTGGGGAATGTGTGGGCTTAATACATTACGAAAAACACTAAGGGAATTGTAGGGAGTGGCTCATGTTTCCTGGAAACACATAATCTCAGAGTCTTAAAATATACTTGAATGGGCCATGACTTCCCATTGCACCAGGCAGAAATATTCCAAGAAACACTTTAAAATTTTCAGCTGTAGGTCGATACATTTCATGTTTTCTTGAAACAGTAACAATACTGTAAAGGAAGAAAATGTCAGAAAGGAAAAAGGGGAAAGCAAAATAAACCAGGCAGGTTACATACAATGCATTATCATTTTTTTTCATGAAAATAAACAGTATTTGAAAAACGAGCCAGCAGTTTCCCAATAAGACACGTGATGTCCAATATGAGAGGAATCAATCCAGTCTATGTGCTGAAAATCTCTTGTTTTTATATCTGAAGTCACAGTGCATAGAGAAGCTAAGATGGAGTTTTATTTATCACACATTGTAGGAAATGTTCTAATTCCCTGTTTTAGTTTACTTCAAGGCGTTTTAAAAAAAAGAAAGAATTTTCTATAAATTGAATTGGCAGAATGAGCTGTGCAAACCAGATCCACAACTGCTTCGTGGGTGGAGTGTCCCAGGTGTGTTCTGACATTCTCCAGCCTGCAGTCATGGATTCTACTTTGTCCAGGGAGTTGGAACACAGGAGCCATGTGGGGGCCATTCCATGCACGGTCCACCACTGACAGGATACTGGCCAATAGGTTCAAACAGTGGTATATTAGATGCTAAGGCACTCAGAGCAGATGGTCCTACATTTACACATCAGATGCTGAAACTGCAAATATTGCCACTAGAATGGGTGCTGGGGGAGAGAAAAATCCCCTTTACATGATTATGAAACAAGTAGATTACAGGATGGAGAGCGGCACAGCAACTCTCAAAAGGCCCTCTAATAATCACGAATATCACCATCATCCTCATGTGCCATCAAAAGGATCTGGATGTCTAAAGTTTCCTAGGTATAGTATTGATTTATTTAAAACATTTCTAAGCTGCCTTTCTCCTTAAGAAGAATCCACGGCAGCTTATATCATTAAAAGACAATATTTAAAGTTTTTTTCAAAAAAGTATACAAATACTCAAAAGGATCAAAGAAATACCACAGTAAAAGAAAAGCTTGACTGAAGAGAAAGCTCTTCTCTTGCTTGCAGGACAGCAAAGATGGGCCCAAACTGGCCTCCAGTGGGAGGGAGTTCCAAAGTCTGGGAGCAGTGACAAAGACCTCTCCCATGAATCCACCAAACACATATATGAAGGTGGTGAAACCAAGATAAAGGTCTTCCCTTGATTAGGTTAGCAATCTGGCTGCTCCGTTTTTGACCCAAATGCATTCCAGAGGCACCGCCAAGGAGAACATACTACAGCAATCCACCCAGGATGTTACTAACTAAGGCATATGCCATTGTAGCCAAATCACCTCTCTCCAAGAATGGGCACCTGTTGTGCACTTGTTTTAATTGTGCTACAACACTCCTGGCTACTGCTGAACCCATAGCCAAATCACCTCTCTCCAAGAATGGGCACCTGTTGTGCACTTCTTTTAATTGTGCTACAACACTCCTGGCTACTGCCGAACTCAGGGCATCCAGGGTTAGGGATGAATCCAGGAGCATCCCCAAGTTGTACGCCTGTTTTTAGAGAGAGTGTAAGCCCATCCAGCACAGGCTGCATCCCTATTCCTTGATCTGCCTTTTGACGGACCAGGAGCACCTCTGTCTTGTATTCAGGTATCATGTATTCTTCTCTGCTTCTGAAGGCTGGCTCTTAACCCAGGAGAAATACAGTGGTGCCTCACTAGATAGTTACCCCGCATGACAGTTTTTTCGCTAGACATTGGCTTTTAGCGACTGCAATAGCGATTCGCAAAACAGTGATTCCTATGGGGGAATTTTGCTGGACAATGTTTGATCCCTGCTTCGCAAACCGATTTTCCCTAGACTACGATTTTGACAGCTCCCTCCGTGCTCGCAAACAGGTGTTTTCGGGACCTAAGCTTCGCAAGACAGAGATTTAAACAGCTGATCGGCAGTTCGCAAAGCAGCTTTCCTATGGCCAATCTTCACTAGACAATGATGATTCTTCCCCATTGGAATGCCTTAAACAGGTTTCAATGCATTCCAATGGGGAAATGCTTTTCGCTACAATTATTTTGCTAAACAGCGATTTCAGTGGAACTGATTATCATCATCTGCTGAGGCACCACTGTAGTGGGGAAGGTAACTCCCACACTCTGGCTCAACAGCCAAGTATCGAACTCATTGCTTCTGATACAGCTTAGGGGCAACCCCTGTCGCAAGTAGTCTTACACTTGTGCCTGGGTGATTTAGCCTCACCTCAGTGAGCTCAAGTCCAAGTATTCATGTCAATGCCCTCCAGTTTTAATGGGAGACCTACAGAAAATGGGCTCAGATACTGCCAATAGCTCCATCTTAAAAAGATTTATACTGTAATTGGGAAAAGTAATGAGGAAGGCATGCTATCGCATTTTATACTTTTAAAAAAACTATTTTAACATGAGCTTGTCTACATGCTATCTTTGGATTAGGCTGGAGAAGGCTAAATAGGGTTTCTGGGGGTCTGGTCTGCCATTTTGTGTAAACCTGGAATCCAAATGGCATATAGAATTCGAAGTGACCCTATTTGGGTCCAATGTGGCTTTTCAGGATACTGGCAAATTAAATATCTCCTCAGCTTAATGGAGGGGGTAGAGAAAAACATGTTTTAAAGTGTATTAGGGTAACACAGATTTGCTCCAACACTTAAAAAAAAACACATGAAAATGTCCTTCTGGAAAAGGAAGGAGGCAGCAGGAGGCAACATGGGAGAATTTTGCTTGCTTCTCTCTTAAATGTCTAGTTGAGAACCTGCCCGATTCAGCTGCAGGCAGATTCTTGGCTGGAACCTTAAGAGAAGACAAAGTTTTTTTCTTCTACCTGCCCGATTCAGCTGCAGGCAGATTCTCGGCTGGAACCTTAAGACACATTTTTCTTCTTTTTTAAGTGATGTACTGCATTTCCCTAATCAAGTCTTTAAAAATAGTCTGAAAGTTGTCACAAAGAAACAGCAAGAGAAAAAAATGCAAGGGGAAGAGTAATTTGACAGTGAGCTTCCAGTACTCCTGTATTCCGCTGCCTTAGAAGACCTGCTGATCTTGTTCTGCCTTCCACGGATGAAGGAAACCTACAGCTAAAATGTATCTGGCAGATAACCAATCAGCCTGTGTTTAAAAATCTGCAATGAAAGAAGTTCCAACACTTTCTGTGACAGTCAGTTCCAGTGCTGAACACCTTAGGCTTGGTAGATTTTCATCTTCTACCTGATAGCCATTAAAATTTTTAAAGGACAGTATGACATGATGTCTCAATTCTTTTTTCCTGACTAAAGTTATCCAACTCTTTCAACTTTTCCTTGCACAACCCAGATCTTTGGGCACAGGGGCATGAATCCTACAGATTGTCAAATGCATGAAACTGCCAGGCCTTTTCTCCAGCACTCAAGTTTTTCTTGGGCACTCAGAAGTTGGCTGATAATAGTGGCAACTTCAATTTCCAGAAGCCTCCAGAAGCAAGCATCCTGCCTTCAAACAGGGCACAATATCCATTCAAAAGAGCAACACCTATAGAAACATGCTGACATGAAATTACTTTTTTGCACACGTTCATTAGCAACCAGCACTCTGTATGTGCACCAAGATAACTTATTCTTACAGTTTGGTGTCTTTTTTCCTATTCTGTTCAGTTCCTGGTTCTAGAGCTGGTCTGGCTGAAGGAATGGATCCAACCCTATTTACAGTATTTATCTTTTTTATTCATTTAAAATATTTATATGCCGCCTTTCTACTGAAGGATCCAATGGCAGCTTGTAATTTTTTAAAATTACAAATATAAACCCATGAACAAATGATACATTTAAATGAAGACTCATATACCCCCCTCAACTTATTAAACTACCTGATGCTGAAAATAATTAGGCACACATGATTTCCGAGTTGACATGTATAACACCATGAATTTAATTTTAGATGAAGAGGGCTAAAGTTGCTGTTTTAGATTACTACAAAAGGTTTCCAGAAAGTTACTCGGTTGAAGAGAAACTTCAACTAGCTTACTTGCTTATTTATTTCTGAAATTTTGTGTGTCTCCCACAAGTCATTCATTGGGAGGCGAGCATCCAATGGACCCACAGGCACCAACACAGCACTCAAATCTTGGATGCAGTCCAATGGATCATACTTTAATGAATGAATACCAACAACAAATGTGCCCTGTCCAGAGAAAGTTAGAATGCTAACAGTTAAATATAGCCTCAAGGTCCTTTTGTCTGGGAATGATTCAATTTGCCCTCTCTGAAGTTGATCCCACCCTTGAGATGGCTACTGCTGGGAAGTCCTACAGCCTTTAGACCTTGGAGCCGATGTTCTTTCTCTTGGACTTTGGCAGCAAGTTGCCGCAGGTGCTGAAGCTGCCTTTTGTGCCACCAGGTAGGTATAAGAGTAGTCTGTTGGGGTGCTTACAGGCCGTCCAGTGAGGTGGCATTCCAGCAGGACATCCCAGACCTCCTTGACTGATTCATGCTGGGGTCACTCCAAGCCTTCTTCTCGCTCAGCTTTATCCTCCACCCCTTCATCACCCCATTCTAGCTGATGGTGTTGCTTGGGATTCTTCTCTCTTTCTCCACTTCTGCAGCCTTACCTTTTATTTCTCTTGAGGGTTCCAATCCATCCTCCACCTGTCCCAACCCATTGCTAGGAGTTCCCTCAGATGACGCAGCCCCTTGTGCTCCCTTGCGGGTATGTCCATTTCCCAAAAGTTCTAGGTTCTCTCCTCAGTTCCCTTACCGTCCGTCTTTCCCTCATGGTGTCTAGGCTCTCAGCTTCCTTCAAGATGGCTGATGCAGCTAAAGCTGCCTGAGGCAGTTCCCAGGGGTTGGGTGGTCCCAGGAGGTTCACCCACAGATTCAACAGCAAAGAAGGTGCAGAGGTTGGCCCAGCATCTCGCCTGTTCAACCCCTGCCATGAATTTATATCCTGTTTTTTCTTCATTGAACTCAAGGGAATATATATCCTTCTCCTCTTTCCCAATTACTCAGCAACAATACTGTGAAGCAGGCCTGTTCGTCAAATTTCAGTAGTAAGGACAATCAATTCATATGAAACAAATTCCTTGCCAAGAAAGGACACATTCTTGTATTAGAATCTCTGGTCTAGGTCCAGAAGCTCACATTCCTCCTCGGTGAATTACATCACTACATCCTGAAAGGTTGCCATTTCCTGCAACCGTTAAACAGCCCACAACCAGAAAGATGAAACAACCATGAAGAGAAAAGGCATGATACAGACCTAACAAAACCCAACCATTTCCCAATATAGATGGGGGAAAATATGTTCCAAAGCTCTCCCATTGTGTGTACCCTCTAGTTAAAAAAAAAAGGGGGGGAGGGAAGGAAGACAAAAAATAGGTAAAGGTGCTTGTATAGCGCACAGGGTGCCTGAAGCTTCACAAAACATTCCAAAAACTGCTCCATGCTACCTGGATTTCCCTTCCCTAGGTCATGTAGAAAAGAGGATTTTTATGGAGAACTCCCTTATTGAGAGAAAGCTGGTCTCTCTGAGAATCTGCAGAAGATACAGGACGAAGATCTGTGCATTTCCAGACATTTATGTGACCTTTATTCATTTTCTTCCTTCAGCTAAAATGAATTTCCCATCTGAGCCAACATTGCTGCCACTCTCTTGTCTTTCCTTTTGTTTCTTTGGTATTCAGATAGAGGCCACATCACACCGTCTGCAAGAGAGAGACGAGCAGGTCAAAGGGACAGTTCAGGAAAAGACTTCTTGCCCGTTTTGTAATATCATTTCCACAATAGCATACAATAGGAATTGGTTGTTGCAATCTCTGTAGCTGTGTTGAGTCACTTCATTGGGCATACATTTTCAATCAAACCTTGTCACACTGAAGAAATGTAACTGGGACAGGCAGTTGGCTCTTTACAGAACAGTGCTTCCCAACCATGTGGTTACTGATAATATTAGACTATAATTCCCAGAAGCCTTAAGCCTATATGGGTATGTTAACTAAGTCCTTTTGGGTGTTGTAGTCCAATAGCATTGAAGGGCCAGGGATGGGTTACCTAGTACAACTCTAGTTTTGAAAGGTACATATACATGGATTTTTTTATTACTTTGTGGAGGAGACTTAAAGAGTAACACAGCCACCCTGAGTAGACATTGTCTAGAAGGGTGGGATATAAATAAAATAAAATAAAATAAATAAATAAATAAGCAAGCAAACAAACAAATAAACAAAAAATCTATGCACAGGGTACACCAGACTAAACATCAGTTAATGTTTTAATAATGTTACTTTAATTATATCAACATTTACACTTTTAAACAACAGAATGGAAGAGATTTTTCCATTTCTCACATTTGTTAATTGTTCAAAGCTCTGGGCCCTGTCATAAAGAACCCAAGTCTCCTCCTTCCATAGTGAGTCTTGAACCCATAATCCACCACGGGAAGCAGTAACTCATCTTGGAAAATCTCCTCCCAAGGACCCTATGTTGGTGCTGTAGCAAACTGCCTTTCTTTTTTTCCCCCCTTTTAAAAATCAACTAATACTTAAGGATTTATCTTGGGGAGGGGTGTGATATATAACCTAAATTTCAAGGGTGGAGTACTTCATATCAAAACCCTTATGAGTTTCAAATCTTAGACACCTTAAAAGCAAATCTCTATGAAGAAACTATTAAACCCTCTACCAACGTAATATAAATCTTCCACTCTGCAAAAAAAATTAAAAGGCGATCTACAGTAAGAACTTCAAAGCCTGTTCACTATTTAAAGGATACAGAGAATCTTTTCTTCAAACACATATCTGCTAAATAAAGGGGGGGGGGAATGAATCAACTCATTCCCTATATAATACAACCACAGATTCCAGTTTATCTGTTGTTGTTTTTCTGGAAGAAAAGGTTTATTGAACCATCCTGCAACCTGAAGCCTTACTGTAGCTCATTTTCCTAAATCTCTAGGGAACGAAGTCCGGGACATTTTTAGGCCTCACTCTGGAAGTTTCAAGCTTGAAATTTTGAAACTTCAGGTTTAGACAAGCTTGGATAACCAAGTGGTCTTTAATGACTGGTTGCAGTGCTGATTTTCAGTTGCAACAATGAAACCACAATGCCAAGAACAAAGGTAGCTGTAAGGTGATCTCCTAAATTAAGTCCTTAATCATGGGACAGTTCATTTATGTCTTTTAAAACCATCCAGGGGAGCTAAAGCCTTTTTTCCCTGTTGCCTCCAGACACTCCCCTCGGCCTGTACATGAGAAAGAGGCCGCTCCCTCAGGGAACAAAATGGCTCCTCTTCCTCCCTCCCCCCCCATTGGCTGTACAAAGAAAAGGCGGGAAAATCCACAGATTAAAGGGAACTCTCTCATCTTTGCACCAACAGCTCTTGAGATAGAAAGGCTGTAGAAAGCTTTTCCCAGAGGGGGGGAAAAGTGGGTCCAGAATTCCTTGTTTTCTTCCCTCACAAAGCTTGTCCCTCTTTCTTTCTGAGGGGAGGATCCAAGATAGGCCACAAAAGGAAAATGCCGGAACCCTCTGGGGGTTTCCTGATCAGGGTTTCGTTCCCGTCTTGTTTCTGAGGAGAAAGTAAGCCTGGCCCTGTTAGCCTATGTTCTGCTGAGGTAAAGCCACCTCAGGCGGTAACACTCTGGGAAACATCAGCCGGATTACGTAAATGGATCGCTTTCTCTCCTAACTGCTGGATTTTGAGGGAACACGGTAGCTTGAAAGATGAAGAGGGCAGGCTGGAAGAAGGGACAGGTCAGAGAGCTATACTTGTGGCAGAATAAATGAGGAAACTACATCTCTTGGGTGTAGAAGACATGGGGAGTTGTAGTCTTCAAACGCCCTGAGCTCCATAACCATAAAACCATCCAGGCAGGATTTACAACAAGTCTTCATTAAGGCTTAGGTTCTCCAGAGGAAGGTCAAGGAGCCTGTTCTTCTATAGAGCCCGATAGAGGTACTTAGGAATGGCATTATTATTATTTTTTTTAAAGGGGGGAGGTAGATATATGGATAACCATTGGAGGAACTGGACCGGCAGCATCCATGGGTCTTAGTTTAAAGCACCACTGAAATGACCTGTGTGGGTTTAAAGGGATGGCCCTGTTCAGCAAATAATGCAACCCAGTCTCCCTCCATAAATAAGCCATGAATATTTACTTTGTAATGCTAAAAACAGTTTCCTTCTCTTTTTTTCCAGGGTGTGTGTGTCTATTTGCTTCCTAACCACAATGGGAAAATAAAGATGGAAGAAAGAAAAAGGAATTTAAAAAAATCAGAGAAAAAGGTAGGAGAAATCTTGACTAGACAAAGCTAAAGCCAGAAAGAGAGCTCTTGTTTGAGTCAAAGCAGGGAAATAAATTAGAATGAAGGTCTAAAAATGCAGCTTGTTTGCAAAGCTTAAGGCTCTTTAATGTCCAGGATTTCTCTCTCTCTGAATGGGCTGAACCTGATCTTCTGGATTCTTCCTTCTCCATTAGCCAAAACACTCAGTTTTGTACAAATCTCTACCACAAGGATGGGAAATCTATGGCCATTCCAAGTTCAACTGCAACTCCCACCAGTCTTCACTGCAACTTAGAAATATTGCTTTTCTTTAGAGTACAGTTCTAATTATCTTTCCCTATATTTCTCTGAGCCCAATACACACATGTAAATTCCCAACACACGGTAGTTTGACCTGCATGCAAATAACTGCATACTCAAATAAAACTTGAGCTAGAGGTATACAGATTTGTCTTTCTGAACAATAACTGTCTAGGGATGCTCAGAGCTTCTGGCCCTCTCCAATTGCTGCTTACTATACAACAACATGTGGAGGGCTGTATTTACCCCATTCTGCTCTTCTGTTCAGTGCAAATTCTTACATTTGTGTTTTTGTGCTCATGCCTGTATTCTGCTGTGATGTCGTTTCTCCAAAAGTTCAAGCCAAAAGATCAAATCAGTTTACCTCTCTAGAAACCCTGCTCAAGAACAGAAAACAAGGAAACAAACAAACAAAAAAATAAGATTTAGGATTTCGAATATGGAACTTTGTTGATAAATCGAACGTGTTCTATAATACAGGAATACTGCCTTCTACTTGCAGACACTGATTGGCAGCAGCTGTATGAATTTCAGGGAAGACTCTCTGCCAATCTTTGATACGCAAAAGTGAACCTCTGAGATCTGGCATACAAAGCATGTGCTCTACCACAGTGGTCCCCAACCTTGGGCCTCCAGATGTTCTTAGACTACCACCACCTCTGCTGGCCAGGATTTCTGGGAGTTGAAGTCCAAAAACATCTGGAGGCCCAAGGTTGGGGACCACTACTCTACCACACTGAGTTATGGACGCACATCAAGCCAGGTACTAAACAGACATTTGTATGGCAGGTATTCTATGACTTAGAAGGCTTTCCTCCAGTACAGATTTTCTCTCCTAGCATAGATGCTATCTGTGATTTATGCGTACCCAGAAGTAGTTGCAGGCCAGGTTTAAATCACTGTTTCAGAGTAGGGTATCTAGAACATGCTGTGGGCTATCATGTTTTCCTTTGAGGCTGGGCTTGGCAACTGACTCCTTAACGTCTAAGTGCCCCAACCTCCGCAAGTGATTCATGTACACTGTGACTACAGGTGCTACCTTATTCAGTGGACATGTTCCAGTAGGCATCCCTTGACATGCCCAATCTTGCTCTGGTTGGGAAACCAAGCATGCAAAAGGGAGCCTGCCAAGAAAGAGGGAACACTTGCACGATTACCTTTCCAACTGGCGTGCACCGAAACAGACATGCCAACCTTCCACTCTAATCCTCTACACGTGAGCCAATGCTTAGGAACTGTAGTTTCTGGAATTTAGTCAACCTCACGTTGCTTTGAAAAGTACGTGGCTTATATGCTTCCCTAAAGGAATCCTGCCAACCTAGTAGTTCGAAAGCATGCAAATGCAAGTAGATAAATAGGCACCACCATGGTGGGAAGGTAATGGCATTCCATGTCTAGTCGCACTGGCCACATGACCACGGAAACTGTCTACGGACAAATGCTGGCTCTACAGCTTGGAGACGTGGATGAGCACCATGCCCTAGAGTCGGACACGACTGAACTAAATGTCAAGGGGAACCTTTACCTAAAGGAATGGGTTTGGTCTAATCACTCCTGAAGTAAAAATCTGTTTATTATTTGTTATTTATTTACAATATTTATATCCTGGCTTTCTTCTCGAGAGGACCCAGAGTGGCTTACAATATTTAAAACAAACAATTTTAAATCTAAAATTTAATAGGTTGTTACAATATTAAAAAAGAAGCAAACAAACAGCAAGTTTTAAAAAAACTAGTGGATAAAGAGTTTAAAAGCATTTAAAAACAGTAACAAAAGTTACTGTCAGCCCTATTTCTAAGAACCCTTCCTAGGCAGCCAATGAAGGAGGAAAAGCCTGCGTGTAAAGAAGAGTCTTTGCCTGCTTGTGCAAGGGCGGCAAGGAGCCTGCCCTCCTGTGGGAGGGAGTTGCACAGCTTGGGAGCAATAACAAAAAAAGGTGCTTTCCTTATACAGTATATTGACCAATGCACCTGTGAGGGGGGTGAGCCTGAGAGAAAGGGCACCACTGATGATTTCAAAGCAGAGAGATGCAGTCTTTCAGATCAATCAGGCTGAAAATGTTTAGAGCTGTATAGGACAAATCAGCACACTGAACTGTGTCCAGAAATGGAATGGTAGACAGTGGAACTGGATCCTGTAGTTTCACTTAATTTGATGAGGAATTCTATTTTTAAAGGCTAGAAGATATATAGACATTTTCAGCACCAGTGCATCTCCAACTTTGGTCAAGCAGAAGACCTCAGTGATTACTCCATCTGATAAGAGAAATCATTCTTAAAGATATTGAATTTATCAGCACTGTAGCTTCATTTGCTCTATTTCAAGAAAAATCTTATTCTCAGCTTGCATTTTGTCGATATTTATAAATCAAAATTTTTATCTGGAATATGATTAATGGAACTGGTAGTATTAGAAATCTCTCCTCTTCTGAAAGGGTAGTATTATTGGCTAGCCAGAAAAGATTACTATCAAAGATATACAGTATAAAATGCTCATCAATCTTAAATCTGGAAATATGAGACAATGGGACCAGCAATGTAGTATGATGATATGAGATGAGCAGTGGGCCTACATAAGGCTGAATTCATGAAAGGAAATACTGGATGTGAAGTCCAGAGAAATATTTGTGTATGTTCACCGCTGGTTCAAATCAGTATCGGAGATGCAGGTACCAACCCCTTCTGGTCCTGTCCTATAATCAGAAAATAATGGATGGATGGGATTAGCAATATTAAAACTATCACAAGCTATGAATGACAGCTAAACCCCATATTTATGGTGTTGGGAGGTATATTAAATTTCTTATCCCAAAGGCTGCCACATCATGTTACATGTGAACAGCAGCTAGGCAGACGAGTGTATCTATATTACACACTTACTACAGTCTGATACCCCTTCAACTGTCCTCTGCAATTCTAGGATTTGTAATTTGTTGAGAATTTAAGATTTCTCTGTAGTAGTTAAGGAGAGGCACTAAAGCTCCTGGCTTTTCCTTAATTCTTGATTATTGTACTTCTGCCATCAGAGGAGGTGAGGAATCTGTGAAGGCTGCTTACCTCAGAGACGCAATGTTTCAGAAAGAGTGACCCATGTCCATATTTGAGGCAATTCTGTTGCACGTATTTGCACTTTCCAAGGAATTGCTGATGCAGAGACTACATTAATTGTTGTGCTGTATCTTTGAAGGTCTGAGAGATACCATGTTATATACAGTGGATATATAAAGTTTACACACCCCTGTTAAAATGTCAAGTGTCTGTGATGTAAAAAAAAAAAAACAAGGTAAAGAGAAATCATTTCAGAACTTTTTTCACCTTTAACGAGACTTATGAACTGTACAAATCAATTGAACAACAAACTGAAATCTTTTAGGTGGAGGGAAGTAAAAATGTAAAAAAAACCCTGAAATAATATGGTTGCATCTGTGTGCACACCCTCTTATAACTGGGGATGTAGCTGTGTTCAGCAGTAAATAATCACATTCAAACTCATGTTAAGTAGGAGTCAGTACACCCCTGCCGTCATGCAGTGGTTCTTAACCTTTGTTACTCAGGTGTTTTTGAACTGCAACTCCCAGAAACCTCAGCCAGCAGAGCTGGTGGTGAAGGCTTCTGGGAGTTGCAGTCCAAAAACATCTGAGTAACAAAGGTTAAGAACCAGTGATTTAAGTGCCTCTGAGGAATCCCAAATAAAGATCTGCTGTGTGAGTAGGTCTTTCCTGACATTTTCTTAGTCACATCCTACAGCAAAAAGTCCACAGAGAGCTTCCAAAGCATCAGAGGGATCTCATTGTTAAAAGGTATCAGTCAGGAGAAGGGTACAAATGAATGTGCCGTACTGATAAGACTCAAACCCAAAAAGGCTGAGTGCTGTAATAAAATCAAAAGGTCCTTCAACAAAGTATTAATTGAAGGGTGTGCACACAGATGCAACCATATTATTTCAGTTTTTTATTTTTCCCTCTACCTAAAAGATTTCAGTTTGTAGTTCACCTGATTTGTACAGTTCATACGTCTCGTTAAAGGTGGGAAAAGTTCCGAAATGATTTATCTTTGTCTCATTTTTTTAACATCACAGACACTTGACATTTTAACAGGGGTGTGTAAACATTTTATATCCACTGTAAGCCTTCAATCAAAGGCTAAGAGAAAGAAAGAAAAAAGTCTGATCTGAAATGGGTCACAAGAGAAGAAGATTGAGGGCTATAGGTAAAATCAAGAGGGTTTATGAAAATCATTTGAGGGAAAGGTACGGTAATACACAAGAGGATTTAGCCCAATTTACACCAATTCCACTCCAAAGCCATTCCCATTTTAGAACTGCATAGTATTAGTAAGGAAGCAAATTGAACTGTTTTAAAGGAAATGCAGGGCACCCTCAATCTTTTTTTTAATGCCACATATCTGACCCAGGGTCCTCTGCACCATGGATGGCCTGGTGCCCACTGACTGGTCACATGCTAGAGGGAATGTTTGATTTCTTGGTTGCAGAAGCACAGGAACTGTACAGTAGTCTTGTTGCCCATCAGGCTTCATCAAAGGCACATCCCAAAGAATGACTCCCAGGTGCATTTGGTGAGGACACAGGAGAGGGCCTTCTCAATGGCTGCTCCCAGACTTTGGAACTCCCTCCCACTGGAGGTCAGGCTGGCCCCATCTTTGCTGTCCTTCCATAGGCCAGTGAAAACATTTCTCTCTAGGCAGGATTTTTCTCAGTAACTGGATGCCCAAAAAGGCGGTACAAAAGAGAGCTGCTGTTTTTATTTATTTTTGTTTTTATTTTATTTACTATTTTATATACATTTATAGAATGATTTTAAACTGTATACATCCACTAGTATTTTTAATAAATCTCTTTAGTTCTTATTTAAGATTGTAAAACTTTGTAGTTTTTTTAGCTTGTTTTGTTATAATTTAAATAAACAGTAAAATAGGTGGACTTTGAGGTAGACTTGTAAGGTCAGTGCTTTGAACCAATATAATCCACAACCCTGACATTTCTCCCCTTTCTTTCTGGAATGTGCCCTCTGATACCTTACAATATGGTGCAGCATCAAAAAGAAATCTCTCATCGGCAGATTCTCTAAGGCAGTCCCCAGATGTTCTTGGACTAAAACTCCCAGAAGCCTTAACCACTAGGTGTGCTGGCCAGGATTTCTGGGAATTGTAGTCCAAAACCATCTCGGCACTGAAGGCTGGAAACCACTGTTGAGGGGTCAACAAGGTTTGAACTAACAACTAAGATGGAACGGTCTTCAATTTTCCTGTCATTAATGCTTGCCTGTCATGACTTTGGGAGATCTCATATTTTGGGTTTTGTTTCTTACCCTCTCTTGCTGTTGCTGATAGGAGCCTGCCTTGTGGTTGAAAACTTCTCCAGAAACTACCTGCACTTGAAACTAATACAACTCCCTTTCTCAAAACAATGCAACGACAGCCAACCAAGTATTAACCCTTTGCCTTCTGAGATTTTTTTTAAAATTTCAGTACCTTATAGCCGGCAAGTCCATACAGGTCAGGGATTTTCAAGAAGTCCTCATCCAATGTTCTTCTTTCACACATTCTTTTGCCAGCTGGGTTTTACAGAGCCTTTTCCTGATTTGCAGCAGCCGAACTGGTTTGTCCAGTCTTCCACTTATCCTGTTAAAGAGAGCTTTGCAGGTTTCTATCCTCTGTTGAAGTGTTCCTGATTTTCCCTTCAGGGTGGAACAGAATCAAGTAGAATCCTCCCAAGAAACTAGTTTCTCCCTTTCTTAAAAAGGTGATCTCTATTTCCTGATTTTTTTTTTTAAAAAGGTCTTGGCTGCTTGGAATTTGCTGTCTTTACACTGAATAGTCTCTGGAGCATTTTCACTTTGGGATGTTCTGATGTAATTGTATCTCTTAAGTGGTTTTTCAATTAATGCTCTGCATGGACCTTCAATGTCTCAGAGAGATTCAAGGCCTGGGCATAGATTTACTCATCCACTTTGTCAGTAAGACACTTACATCTTCCCGTTCTTCTTGTACATTTTTATACCCTGAAATTTTAACTTTCTCTGGCTATTTCTGTCCTCCAGATCTTCACCTTTGTTTTGCAAAGTTTTTGCTGCTTTTCTGCAGGTCCCTGATGATGTTAATTATCCAGCCTGGGCTGGATTGCTTCCCTTGGCTGTTGCTTGTTTGCTGTTTTAATTGCACAATCAAGGCTGTCAGTTTCTGACGGAGGGGCAATCAAGCAGCTGCCCAGACCCCTTGCAATTCCAACCATAGCTGCTGGAACAGCTCTTTTAGGTGTCCTTCTGATGCTCAGTCTGTTCTTCTGCCCTTCTTGCCTCCTTTATCTCCTTCAGCATTCCTTGGGGGGGGGGTTCATGGCTTTTGGCCTCCTTTTCTGATGTTTTCTGTGAATTTTTCAGTTCAAAATAACTTTTCCTCTCACATTTTACCTCCATTTCTGCCACGTTTTCACTCCCTTCTGTATTTACTGTATATTGCTGTTGGTTGGTTTTTTTTTACACTATTTGCTTTTTTTGTCTTGTGAGATTTTGGAACTGCTTGGGGAGTATGCAAAGCTGATCTCTTACTCTACCATGGTTTTTTTGACACCCATTTGTTACATTTATATCCTGCTTTTTCTTCTACGAGCTCCTTTCTTCCCCATATGATATTCTTCCTCCTTACTTCCTCCTCACAACAACCCTCTGAGGTAGATCAGGCGAACATGTAGGGCTCAAAATTCCTGCTCAACTATAAAATTCAATAAATGACCTTGGGCTAATCACACTCTCCCATCCTCTCTTGGCCTGGCTCAGAGAACTGTTTTGAGAATAAAAATGGGGGTGGGAGGTAGGAGAGGGGCATAGAACCAAGCATATGACCTTGATATTCCTGGAAGAGTAGTTGGATTTAAAATGTGATACAGAAATATAAATCCATCTAACAATGCCTGCCCCCAAAACTTGGAAGAGAGCTACAAGTTCATTATGCTTCTCCAGCATAGTCAAACATCACAGGAAGAGTTTCTCAACAGACAGTATGGACTACATGGGGCTGGGAGAATCTTATAGAACCCACAAATATTTATGTCATCAGCAAATGGATTCAATATAAAGGTGTTGTCCTTGTTTTTTTCTTGCAATAAAGCAATATGGCTCTCCTGCGACGTCACAGAAAATATATTAGTGTTAAGCCACATTTCCTTGAAAAATAAAATTTTCAAAGACTGAAATAGACCACCCACCTTCTTGCAAGAGGAACAGAAATATTTTAGGAGTCACATTTTAAAATGGCCAGCACTACGCTGATACGTTAAACTGTTATGTACTATTATCATTACAATGAAAGAAAATATTTTAAAAAAATTAGCAAGGATGAAAAGCCATGCACAGTTAACAGTGGAACCAAAAGCATCAGCCACTGCAAATGAAGCATATAGATTTAAACAAGCAAAGCACATATGTAGAAAAATAACCAGATGAAGCTAGAGAGCCTAAGATACAAGCTCAGATATTAATAAAGCAGTGATCTCTTCAGACCATGGAGTTACATGTTTGTCCTTCCAGCTATAAAGTCTGCATTTCTCTGCAACAATAATGAAGGCCAGGATCCACCTGCACTCTCCAAAAATCAGTCCCCATGCCACAAAAGTATAATTTAAGAGACTACCAGCCCTGGTCTACATGAAGGTTTTTTAAAACTAAAATACTAACATGACTATCCTGGGACAATTCCAAATGTGTCTATGTCTCCCTTCCACCTGTATTCTTCCCTTCTCATCATATCCTAACTGTGTGTCCCTAATGTTTGGAACAAATGCCATTCCATTCCCTAGATCCAGAACTAGAATGACTGTCTGGGAGATTTTAAACGACAACCTCCAAAATCTCTCCAGTCAGAGTGGCTGAAAGGGTTGGAGGGCATTTGTATGGTTTCTCTCCTGAATGGAGTTTCTGGTGCTTCAGAAGGTTAGACTTGTGAGTAAAACATTTCCCACATTCCTGGCATTTGAATGGCTTCTCTCCTGTGTGGATTCTCTGATGAGTCACAATGTCTGAATTCCAAGCAAAACATCTCCCACACTCTTGGCACTTGTACGGTTTCTCTCCTGTGTGGACTCTCTGGTGGATCACAAGGGGCGAATTCCAGGCAAAATATTTGCCACACTCCTGGCATTTGTGCGGTTTCTCTCCTGAGTGAACTCTCTGATGCCTCTTGAGGTCTGGCCTTTTAGCAAAAAACTTCCCACACTCCTGGCATTTGTATGGTTTCTCC